GTGGGTGTTGAGTGTTGCTGTTACTGCAATGTGTGGGCTGGGAAAGTTACTGAATCCACCTTTGTGAATGAAGGTTGCTGTTCAAACTGGTGGACACTTAATAGAGCTTAAATTAGCTAAGAAATTTCCTGACACATTACCACATTGTCAGTGGTTGCTTTCTATGATTGGTCTAGAAGCTATGATTTTGTACTTATAAATTTATAATAATCGTAATTGATATATTCTCATTTTAACTTTTAAGTTAAAACACTTAGTTAATGAGGGACAAGTGTTTCTGCTTTACTTGTTTAGGTTCCAGAATAAGGTAGCATGTCTTTCTGATCTCGTTTTGGAGGTGGACTGGCAGAAAGCATTGGCATGAATAAGATCTTAGGGATGAGTGGGAATCCTCAGCATTAAAATTGAACAGGTAGTAATCATCCTGATAATGAGGCTTTCCTCCTTAGTAACTGTTAGCCTGCAGTTAAGGTCTTACCAGGATATATTCTGGTATGTTTCTTAAAATACTGGGGTTGCAAGGGCAGCCTTAATGACAGCAAATTTAAGACAGTCCTGGTCTGTAATTCTGGGGGTCCTGTGTCACAGCAGTAAGAATGAAGATTGCTATTTTGGGGGATTTTCAGGAGCAAATACTGGCAGGTTAACCTGTGACATGTCCCCGATAAGCTTGTTAGCTCTTAGGAGCAGATGTGTATCTCTTTTTGTTAACTTTTAAAAAAATGTGTTATTTTTTTGTGTGTATTTGAAGGGTGCAAACAGCCACGGACAACTTGGTCTTGGTCATAAAGAGGATGTGCTGGTACCTCAGTCACTGAAAGATATTTCCTGCAAATGTCAAGACATTAAAAGCATTACTGGAGGAGGGGGACATTCTGCAGTTATCACTGGTAAAAACATTGCACTTGCAAGGAGCGTATGACTTCTAAACACTTTTTTTTTTTCCTATGTTTCCCTGTTGATTTGGTGCTACCACCTATCTGTGGCTTCTGTTTCTGAGCAAGTACCAGTTCTTAGTTGCAAAACAGGGTTCTCCCATGCCAATTAACTCAATATTTGGGGGAAATTGGGGAAATTCCTGTTTTGCATATACTTTATGGCTATGTGAGGACTGTTTCTTAACCTGTTTCATATCACAGCTTTTCATACAAAGCAACCGATTTTTCTGTATAGAGGATGGGGCAGTGGGAGGGAGGGAGGGAGGGGTCAAGTGGGAGTTTATTCAATCTTGAGAAGTTTTAAGGTAAGGAGCAGAAGATAATACCTGGTCTTTGAAAGGTTCTGCTGTATGCTGTAGCTAATTATGGGAAAGAAAGGATACAGACAGATGCGAAAAGGATGGAAAACTTCATTGTGGATCTTAGTGAGAGGTGCCTATCTTACCATATGAATTGTGTCTGTTGACAAACCCAACTCTATATAGCTGTGCTTATTCAGAGGTGTTTCTGATGCATCAGAAATAACTTTCTCTTTCTTTTTGCTTGATTGCAGTGCCTAAAGTGACACACAATCACTGTTGTTATTTGTCACAGGATCTCATGGCATGTACGCTTGTCTTTTTAGTCTGTGAAGTGGAACGTGATTTTTTTATTTGTTTGTTTTGTTTTTTCTTCCAGGTGTGGGAGAACTCTTTGTATGTGGCCATAACAAAGACGGGCAGTTGGGATTGAATCATACAGAGAATGTACTGCATTTTACTTTGTGCACTGCCTTGTCCAGCTTTTGTGTAAAACAAGTTGCCTGTGGCTGGGATTTTACAATCATATTAGTAGGTAAATCTGTCTCTGTAAGAGCTGGAGAAATATGTTGATGTAGAGAACACGCTGAAAGTTCCACATTGCTATTGCTTGTGCGATGCACAGGCACTCACAGGTTTTAAGCTACTTGCCTTGCAAACTAAATTACTCCATGTTCCATGTATCCCAGGGAACTTCAGACCTTTACTGAACATGATGTGTAAGATCAGAGCCTATAGCCTCAGGGACTTTGGAATGGGACATATTAGGTCCTTTTTTGAGCTACTTGCTTGTGATATTTTGCTTGTTAGAATGTTACACTGCTTTGGTTTTGCTCACAGACTTACTGATAGGGCTCTAACACTTCATTTTGCAGGATCTGGCCTAGTTCTGTCCTGTGGGTCTAACTCTTTTGGACAATTAGGAGTTCCTCAAATATCAAGTCCGTGCTTGATTCCACAAAAGATTGAGGTAAAGATTTAAAAGGAATTGTGCTTCAGAGCTCTGTACTTTATATTGCTTCCAGCAACTTACAAAGGTTGTCTGACCTCAGTGGGCTTTAAGCCAGACTCTTCAACTATTTTTTATAGAGTCTATCTGTTAGAGTAAAATTACAAAATAAAGGACCGAAGATGGTCGTTGACCCAGAAATGAGAAGCTAAGGCTGCTTTTCTTATTGTACAAAGAAGCTACCCACTTCTAACAGAAAGTTGTCTCTTTCCACTAGGGTTTATAGCATTTCATAATGTATTTCGATAACATCTGCAGAATGAGTCTGATGCTTAGATGACGTGAAGTGATACTAAAGGTAGTGAACCTGTGCAAATTTACTCCAGCTGAAGTTTTGCCTCAAGTTTGCAAGAGACTAGATATGTTTTGCTACATGAAGAGTATGTGCCTTCACTGTATTTTGTTGGAGGTTTTTGCTTAACAGCTCAAAGCAAACCAAAATGAGCCAACAATAATCCACCCCTGAAAAAAACAAACTGCATGACGGAGTTCAATAAAGTTAGCTATGCCAATTTTTTTGATCTGTTGCTCTTGTGCTTCTTGTGCAGCAGTTTAAGTATGTGGTTTTTTTAAGTGTATTTATAACTGTCAGAATTTCTTCCCTCAGATGACGACTGTAGTATTATTTCTTGGCTGTTAAAACAGTTAGTTAAAAATTAGCTTTGTCACTCCCAAAATAATAGGAATGTTAGAAAGTATGTAGCTGCAGGAAAACTGGACCTGAGAGAATAAACTTTAATTTTATCACTTTTGAGATTAAAATGATTTTTACTTTTGCATGTAAAGGAACTGACAAGTACGTTGACTCGCCTCTTATCTAACCTCCAGTATTTACCAAACAATATCAACTTCCAAGGAAATAGGATGGAAAGTTAGATAATTTCTCTGTTGTTGAGTATCTTCAATTGTAAATGCTAAATGCTGGACTTTGATAGCATAGCTCATATTGTTCCTGTAAGTCATGTGGAAGTCTATGGTGGTATTTGTAGGTGAGGCACTGCTGAGTTTGAGTAGGGAGCTCAGAATGTAGCCCCAAATTAATTGCTTTAAAATGTTTTAAGTAGTAGATACTGAGACTTCTGTAACATGAGAAAAACTTTTCTGTTGTTGGCTATAAGCCTAACAGTTTAAATAAATTTCTCACAGGAATTCTAATTAATCCCTAATTTACACTGTAGTTTCTTATTTGGAGGACACTAATGAAACTCTTTTCCATCCACATGACCTCTCATGTCTAATGAAAGCAATAACTTCAGAGCAGAAAGGATTCTCAGACAAGAAATTTAGCCTCATGGCTCATGCCAGATACTCCTTTGCTTTTTTTTAATGTAGGAGAGGAAGGACAGCTGATCCCCTAGGTAACCCGTAGTGAATGGGGATTAACTCACCTGATGTTTCCTGGGAAACATCCCAGGACTGATGTTTCCTGGGAGCATCATTCCAGTATGGTGCCTTGAAAATGGTAATATTGATAGTGCTAATCTGAATCTGTGTCCTCCCTGACCAGGTGGACCATTCGTTTATCTGGAATATTTTCTCTTTTGGTTTGTATCCTGTTAAATGCTTGGGCTTGATGCCATCTATTTTAAATAGTGTTACATCTGTGAGAAGAATAATAAATCTGCAGAGTACTCAGAAGTGGAGAAGTGCCAGAATTGTGCAAACTTAAGTCACTCACTTTATGCACGCGTGACTTGGTATAGTCGTCTTTTGCGTGATCGTATTGGGCAACCTTCAGTGATGTAGGTGGTACTATCAACTGTATTGTTTGTGATCAGAGGACTTGGTAAGACTGAACAGCTTGATGGAACTTATTGCTGCTTGTCACTGGTATTTGCTGCGGAGGTTTTGGTGTAATTCTTGAGGAACACTGAATTAAAAATTAAGAAATAAACATATCTGTAGCGCCAAGAAGGTTCCTTTTTTCATGTGAGGATATTGATTGTGGCTTTTTATTTATTGCCACAAAGCTGTACATCCAGTTGCTTTGCTTGTTTTTTTTTTTTTTTTTTTTTTGAAGATGTTCCCACTAATTTTTGTTGGCCAAAGCTTACTTCCTCGGTGATACAAAGTGTTGATATACATTGTGACATGCAGGCTGGAATTGCGAGAACTATTTTCATGGCGTTCCACTTCTGTTTGGCATATTTTGCTTTTAGAGGCACTAAATACAAAAAAATGACTAAAATATATTTTTCTTTTACTTGACTAGTCTCTCAAAGAGAAGGTGGTGGATGTTGCTGCAGGACTGAGACACGCCCTTGCTGCTACGGGTAAATATGTCATCATTCTTGTATCGTTTCAGTAACAAATGAAATGGAGTTTTAATGGCTTGGAGGTGGAGACAGGGGAAAGAAGATGAAATTTATTTTAGATTCTATTTATTTTTTTTTTTTACAAGAGGAACAACAAACTACACATGCTCTTTTATTTTTGGTTTAATTTTATGTGAACTTCAGTATGGGTTCCAGGTAGTGGAGTCTAGCTGAAGATGCAAAGGAGATGCTTGGAAGAAGAGTGGGATCTCTGGTGCCTGTATGAATACTGGGAATTAAGCTTTCCTGAGCTCTGCGCTCAGTGGACATCTTGATTCAGGGTTAGGTCAAGTCTCTGAAAGGTCCCGAGGAGAAGACAAGTGACTTTACTCCCTCAGCGTGCTGGACTGCACAAACAAATTAGCATGAAGAGAAGGAAAGGGCAGAGAGAGTGCAATGAACTTGTAGTAATAAATAAATTGCGTCAGTTCCTGAGGCACTACAGCTATGGGACTTCTGTTACTGAGTCCTCAGTAACGTCCTGATATAGGCCTCAGAGAGCTGAGACAGGTTGCTTAGTAGCTTCTTAGTTTTCCTACCTGTATGAATGAGACTACAACTGTTTGCTTGATGACTTCACCAGGGTTATCCTTATATTTATGAAGTATGCTTTTGGCATAAAGGTCTTTTAAAGTGTAATTTGAATCGGTGAAAATGAAGTGAATGTACCTTTAAAACTAATTAATTAAGTTATTTTGTTGGTGGTTGATGTGTTTTAATCTCTTCTGTCTGTGTTTACTCTGGAAAGAGAGCGGTTTGGTATTTCAATGGGGAACTGGCATGGCGTCTTGGGCAAAGCGTGCAAACCAAGGAAAAACCCTCCCCCTGTTCTTGACAGCAAAGGAGCCCTGTGAAGTAACAGGTAATCCAGGAATCAGATTCCTTTATAAAGGTGGATAGAGCAGAAATATAATTTGGAGTGACAGGTAGCATCCTTTTATTATAAAGCCACTTGGTATTATAAACATGTAGTGGAGTATCTGAAGGGTAGAGTGGGCATACAAGGTCACAATCTATGGGGGAAAATGATAGTGAGTCTTGCAATGTCTGTGGCCCAGAAGCAGATGCTTTTGTTATAAAATTCATCATCATCCTGTTACACTTGATACAGCTCTGTTTTATGTCTATGTATGAAATGATATCTGCTGTACAAATTTTATGAGACAAACTTTTCTCTAGGCCTGGAAGATGTAAAGGTGAAGAGGGTTGCTGCAAGCTCCTATCATTCGGTGTCACTCACAGGTAGGCCTTAGGTATACAAGTGAAAGTCCTTGTCTTGGCCTATAAAGGTTTTTGTGCTTTGGAAATGTTTGTCAATTTTGGTTAGACTGGTAAAATTGGGTTGTTAGTGCTGGTTAATTGTTTCATAGTAGTTTTGGATTCTGAGAACTTTCGGTTTTTTAAGAGCTGGATTCATGTTTTGAATTCTCTGAATTCTTTGTGTTTTTTCGTGGGGTCAGGTGTGACTTAGCCCTTATGAGTAAGTAAGGGTCTGGGCTCTTTACTTAATGGTTAGAAACTCTGAAAGGGTTTGTGGAAGCACATGGTTGGGTAAGTCTCTGGAGCTGCAGCATGATGCTGCATTGGATAACTCTGGATGGGTGAGTGCTGGAACCAGTGCAACCCTTTGTCCATGAAGAAAGGGTATGTTAAGTGGTTGTCCCAAGAAAGACTGCTGTGGCTATCCTGCTTCTGCTACGTGAGCTAATGCCTCTGCATGGGGCTGTGCTGTGCAGGGACTTGAGATGGTCTGGAGCTATCTTAGGTGGCTCTAATATAACAGTGTGCAGATCTGTGTGAGGTAATGTAAGAACATAAGGCTTATTTAAAGCAGTAGGAAGTTGCTTTAATCACTTAGGCACTTCCACGATGTCTACCATTTGTTCTTTGATCTTTAGGCGGTGCTCCCGTGCTGGGGTATTAAGTATCTAGTAATAAAAGTCTAATAAAGATTTTTTTTTTTTTTTGGCAGACTGGGGGAAGGGGAAAGAGAATAGCTTTTCATGCTGTAATCTTAAAGTTTTGAAGTGTGGAAAATATATTGAACCTTATGAAGACAAGTCTTTGCCAAACTTTATAGGAACAAGTTCTTAGCAAATATGCAGCCATCTGGTACCTTTGTCACCATTAAATGGAGCACTGGAGTATTTGCTTATGCAGATCTACAGAGATTTAGCTGTATGGGAGATGTTACAAGATGTAAATTATATTGAATTCTGAGATGCAAACTGTATGTGCGATTAGTGAAGAACTGTAAGGACAAATAGATCCATTTTAGCTAATTAGCACTCTATTTAGAGAGCGAACAGATTATTCTTTCATGCTTTCACTTTTTATTTAAGAGAGCAGTCTATTTGGCAGCAGGGGGGCCAAGATTAACAAAGTAAGTGCCAAAGATTTTAATAATGTGATGCTATTGCTGCTCTTGATCCTGCAAAGATACTTGTTATTACTTAAAATACTTTGTATTTTAAACATACTTGATATAGTAAAGATACTACTGTAGGGTGTAGTATTTAAATGGGGATTTTTTTCTAGGAATCTCACACTGTGATGCAATTTTCTTTGGCTCTGTTTCAGAAGCCACCTGCTGGTAGGACACCAAACACCTGCAATCAGGCAGATTTTTGACCCAGGCAGGGTTGTTGCAAACATGAATGGCGGTTCCTTTAAAAAAAGGATTGTAGTCTACCTGTATCCAAATGGGTCTGAAACCTCCAGTGATGGGAATATGGTGCTAAGTCTTAGTGTCTAAGTTTTTGTTAAAACCTACTCAAGAAATGAGATAATGGTTGAGCATATGACATTTCCCAGGGTAAAGGAAACACACCTTCTGGAGGAAAAAAAGGAGGTGGCAGAGGCAGTGCATGTCAGTTGTGGAAACATGAATGGCCACAATATTTTTCTTTGTTGAAACAAGCTGTTTCCGTCACCTCTTTTTTTCTCTCCAGAAAGTGTATATACTTCACTCTGGGAAGGAATTTATCAATTTTAGTGGAGAATTCGAATGAAACAATTGCTTGATTTGTTTTTCCTTTCCATTTCAGTGGTGGTGTTTTATTGAGGAACGTGGGAAGTCCTGCAGATGACTGTCAGTAATGTGTAACTTGACGAGTACTGGCTTTTTCCCCTCCCTTCCTTCTCTCTCATTTTTCACCAGCAGTACTATAGTGGAATTCTCCTGGCTCATTCTTTCTGTTACTGTTACCAAACTGAGATCATTAAATATATTGTAGCCTAAGTCCTACTTTATTTTTTTTTTTCTCTGAAAGATTTACTTGCGTCATGCTGCTTGTAAAGACTTCAGTGCTGACCTGAGACTTCCAGAAGCCTTGTATGTTGTGGACATGTGCTCCGAACAATTCCATGTTGCAAATTATATGGCTTCCAGTCTTTCTGGGCCCATGATCATGTACTTCGTGTGTGCAAGATTTATTTCTTATGCTTGCAGCTTGTACAGGGTGGCAAAGGACTTCAGGAGGCCTGACACAGCTCATGTTCTGTTAAGTGTTTCTTGCGGATTATAGTTTTTTAACACGGAAGCCTAGAACCTGGGCGGAATGATTTTGTGCTGAAAAGATTGAACTGATGAGATGTAATATCTGCAGAAGGACTCATCTGAACAGTCATCTTGTTACTGTCAACTGGTCGTTAGGCTGTGAGCAACTCCAACTCGCACCAGTGAAACATATGAAGCAACGTGGATGTTTCTGTAAATATAATTATCCCTGTGGGTGGAATCCTGGAGTGTGCACTTGCACAAATGCTTATTTTAGGAAAGAGATGGGGGAAGACAAGTAATTACTTACAGAAGTCTCTCACTAGTTGTCTAGCATTGTTTTGAGGCATGATAATATTTTAATTTTGCCTTGTGATGGGTAGTACCTGCTTTAGTTGTATGTTCGTAGCTGCATGTCACATTCCTTTAGGAAGTGACTGAGCAAGGTGAGGCAAAGAGCATTAGACTGTCCCTGCTTTGGGGGATTTACTGAATTTGCTCAAGCTGAAGAAAGCAGAAGAGTTATGAGCAGAGCTAGGAGTCTGTAGCTCTTGTAGAGTGGCTGGGAGACTGTAATGCAGAGCAGGAGCAGCCGGCCAGGCTTTGAAGAGTCCCAGATAGTGAAGGGGGAGTTAAATTATTTGCTTCAATTCAGAAAGTTATTTACTGGACTGAATCAAAGCTTTGGGATGGAGGTAAAAGCTGGCCTGCAAGAACAGACTAGACTGAGAGGGACTGCTCAGTGAGTGTCCCCGAGATGCTTTGATTTTTTTTTTTCTCAGAGAAGTTGACTACTGTGGTTAGTTTTCTAATAAAACTTGGCCTTTGCTATAACCATCTTTCAGTCGTCTTTGAGAGGCTCACAGTAGAAATGAGGTCTAGGCAGTTTGACCTGAAAGCTCTCGTTGTTTCAGGGAGTTAGTGTAGCCCTCAGAGAATGGGCTGTGTTTTTAAGGCCCTTGCAAATATTTCTGATATCCTAGTTACAGTGTGCATGCACGTGGTAAAGAGTGGTAGGAAAAAGCATACAGTGAAAACACAAATTGAATGAAACATTGTTCTTTCCTTAGCATCACTGAGTTGAGACAGAGCCTGTATCTGGTGGTGCTCTATGTATATCACTTTCAACAAATTTTACTTCTCTGTGTATTGTAGATGAAGGACACCTGTATGTCTGGGGTAGCAACAAACACGGGCAGCTAGTGAGCAAAGAGATCTTTCTTGTTGTGCCCAAGAAGATTGAGACTCAGTTTTTCTCACGTGACAAGATTGGAGCAGTTTGGAGTGGCTGGACCCACTTGGTGGCACAAACAGGTAGGATATCTGAAAAGCAGCAACATATGGCACCAAAACAGTAAATTGTCTTTATTGCATGTTCTTTCTTTCTGATACTGGTTGGATGCAGAGTTTTGCAGTTTCACCTGAGCAGTGGTTCTCTTGAAAATAAGGACAGACATCCTTTGGCTTCTGTCCCTGAAGTATTATTGCGCTTATAGATCGGAGGGCCTAGCATCTTCCTAAATGCAGTAGCACCTGCATATACACACTAGAGGGATGCAGCCTCTCTGCATCATCAGGTTACTGGTATATCAGAGTGTATATGAGCTTCTAAAGATCATTCTGCTGGGTGAGTTATGACATCTTCTTTGGAAAGAAAAGAATTTGGTGGAAAACTTGCTTTGGAAAATAGAGGGGTAGGAAAATATGGCTGCAGCTTCCAAGATATGTGACTATGTTTGACAGGAAGATATGGGCAAAACTCTCATTCAGAGCACAGGAATTAGGGAGGGGGGAAGATAATCCTGAGCAAATGTCTGTCTTGAAAGGCGTGGGGGCATAGATATGTACCATTCCCAGGTTACCTGAGTGTTAGCTGAGGATCTTAGGAAAAGATCCAAGAACCCTCTGCTTCTGCCATCCTGTTTGAGAAGACATAGTCTCATTGCAGTAAGTGAAATAAACTATATGGCTTTGCACAACTGTACTAACCTTCAAGAGTGAGCCTAGCTTTTCGTGCTGCTCTTCTTTAGTAAAGTGTTTTAAGGACAAATAAAATAATGTGTTCAGAAGAAAGTCAGTAAACTAAAATAAGCTGGTTTGTGTGTGTGTGTTTGTGGTCAAACCCAGAAAATATTGAGAAAAGGTTGGTAAAAAGAGGCATCATTAGACTTGAAAAGCATCCCCTGAAGATGAAATGAAAGAATATTTTATGTTGAAGCTGCACCTTCCTGGAAACCTTTCCAGTGAGGACAGTGTGAAAGCTTGCCCCATGCAGAGGGCTGTAGGGTTAGATTCTTTCCTCGGAAGAGATGAGGAAGGTTATGTAGTAATGACATGCATGCGTAAAAGGATGGTTGATCTGATGAAGGTCACTTGAATGCATTTGTGGTGGTGGTCTGTTGTGAAATGCAAAGGCAGAAGAGAAAGGTAAATGAGATGAAAAGGTAAGACAGACATCTGAAACTATTTTGTGGTGGTTACGTGTGAACGGTCTGTGCTATTTGCTTCTCCTGTTGCACACTGTGTGGTGTGATAGTTAAGACTAACAAGAGGATGAAAGTCTTCCACAGAACAGTCATATTAGCAGGGGTAGCATACGTGCTTTTCTGCTTTTGCCTTGTATAAACTGCCAGGTGAGGAGATGAAGAGCAGATGAAAGCATTTTTCCTAGAGTCATATTGGAGATAGAATAGCCTATTGGTCTGTCGGGATACAACCTGTTCGTTAAGGAGAACTGCAGAAGGGGCCAAAGATCTGTTACTGATACTTACTGGGTTCTGTAATTATGGTAATTATACATTCAAGGAGTGCTTAGCCTTCAGCATGGGTAGTTTTATTTAAATGGAGTTCTTACATGCCCAAAGGTCAGCATGGGATTAAGTGTTCTATTAAATTGGTGCTGTAAATCCTGAAACAGTCACGCAGTAATGTCCCTTGCTCTGTGAGAAAAGTGTCTGTTTTAATTACCGTATACTGTGAACTCTTGGTGCTAGAATTTGGAGGGATGTGATGCATGACTAGAAAAACAAATTTGTTAAGTGTTCTGTTTCATAGCATTCGTTGTTTGACATCAAAGCACATGAGAGAAATGTCATGTAAAAAACCTGCATTACCCTAGCTGCTCTCTTAGCTATTTAAAATAAATTATTGAACTCTGATTTTTAGAGGATACTACATTAAAAATTACAGAGCTGCAATCAATGCTACGTGCTGCTTGGAAACTTTTCAGGTGGAGTAAAGGAATTTATCTCAAAATGTATAATTCTTGAATAAAGTGCTCAGTGCCGTTCTCACTGGAACAGAAATGGTAGAAAAAAAGAGATTAGTCAGGATAACCTAATTTTTAAAAAGAGGGTCTTGTCAATGTGGTTTGCTTTGCTTCACTATTTCTTAATAATGCGTACCCACTAAGTAGAACTTCCCCGAAGGTTTAGCAGCTTTAATGTTTCACTTTGTTGATACTTATCCATGGCCATTACAGGAATGAAGTGAATATTTTAGTAGGTGATTTTAAGAAGGAAAAAAAAAGTATGTTGAGTGACTAGCAGGGATTTTTTTTTTTTGTGAATGTTTGAAAGGAATTTAAATATAAATAGGCTGACTTTTTACATCTGCATTAGAAAACTGGCCAAGCGATGCAGTGGCATAAGTTATTGCTGAAACTGAATTTTGTGTATTTAGAATTTTAAATCTCTTCGAAAGTCAGTGGACTTGAACCTAAATCATCCAGAGTAAGATTTTGAATGGCCTTTGGCAGCCTCTAGATACCAATCAGAATCTCATGGGATTTTCAAGGGTTGCTCAACTACTAGACAGTGTGAACTAAACACTTAACGGTTTCTGAAAAATCACTCACTGCCTGTGATTAAACTTGCAGCTAAGTAACTGAAAAATGCAGCCCACTTGAAAACTTCTCCCTGTATGCAATTCTTCCTCCATTATTTTTACCTCTTTCTAGCAGAGGAGGAAATGCTGCTTCAGTTTCCTGGTGCTAAAGTCACGTAAACCAGTGGTCTCCAAACTATTGATTGTGCACCCCCATCAATAAAATTTTTTTTTTGAGCATGCACCTCCGATATACGTATACTTATTTATTTATAAATTATAGTCATGTACTACTGTAATATGTTACGCGAACTATAAAACATGCACAATAGGAATTTTAAAAAGGATGAGATAAAGGTGAAATAAACACTACTTAAAATTATTTTATTAACTAAATTAAAACCATTAATAATTTTTAAAAAATTATTTATTATTTTCTTCCTGCCCTCCAGTGGATTGTCTTGCACACTCCCTGGGCTGCATGTACTCCACCTTGGAGACCATGAATATAAACGATTCCTGCTCACTTTACTCTGGAGAGTTCCACAATTAGTGGAAAGGAAGCAAAAAAGAGTGATTTTTTGGATGCGGGGAAAATGGAAGGAAGGGATATTGTAGTATGATGCTTCTCTGTTCATTGTGGAAGGTAGGAACATACTTTGGAAAGATATTGCAGTGTATAGGGATTTTGCTGCATGAAAGAACGGATAAGTTTTTTTCTAATAATCTTACCATGATGCAAAATTTAATAGTTTAACATTTATGTTACTGTATCTGAAGTCTGGTGTTGTCTTTTCCAGAGAAGGTAATGGAATTTTAATAGACCATTGCAAACACTTAGAGTTCTGTTTGGATTTTTTTTCCCAGAACACTAATCCTGGTCAGAGTAGTAATAATAAAACATTCATAATTGCAGCTGCGTTGGCAGTAAATTAAAACTTTTCTCATTGGAAAGACAGAGAAAGAAGCTGGGTGGATAAAAGCTGGACACTCTATTCACGCATAAATTCACAAATTCTGCCATTTCAGAATGACATTTTGATCTTCATCTGCCAGATGAGCAGTGCTTGACTGCAGAACTAATGGAACACTGAAAAGTAAATGAGACAGTGATGTTGTTAAAAGCAACCATCTGGAGGAATGGTGGGCAGTTTCATGGATGCAGTGGTTTGACACTTTAAAAGTGAGTCCAAGCAAGTTACCAACTTCGTTATCAGAAAAGAAGGAACACAGCATAAATATTTTCTTCTTCTGTATTAAGCTTTCCCTCTTATGTAAACTAGCCTGTTTTAAACGACTCGCTTTGTTTTTCCTTCATGCTATTGGCAAAATTTTGCACTGTAACCTAATGCAAAGCACACAACTTTTTTAAAAATTTCTTCCCCACGCTGTCCTTACAAGTGATTTTAATTGCACCTGAAATCACTTTGATACCCGCATCTCTTTCATATGTTATATTCTACCTCATTCAGCAACTGTTCTGAAAGTCCTGTTTCCTGTCGTTTCTCTTTAGAGTTTGGTCAACTCACTTTTCATTTGCTGTTGTTTCTATCATAAAGCACTTCAGATCCAAGAAGTTAATTCCTGAGAAATGAATTGCTTGACTTAGACATTAAGAAATGTTTTCATAGGTTGTTGTGTTTTTCATCCTCACCCTTAAGTGATCCCTATCAGCTCCAGTTCTTTATTTTTTTAATCATAGGGGTGTCTTTTGGACTATTTCCATTGTACACAATCTTACTGTAAAATAACTCAGAAAATTCTTCAAGACAGACCACTACTTCTTTTTCTGCCTTGATTATTGATTCCTACAGAGGATAGACAAACAATTAGGCTTTGCGGCACCACTAGTACTCCTTCAGAATAAGTTATATTATTCTGCTACTAGCAATGGTCCTAGTTGATGATGGTTGGTCCAAAAAGATTAAGGTTGAGAGACCCTGGCTGCTTTTTGCTCAGGTCTCTGATGATAAGATATGAACTTGTTAGTGTCTTTGCTTTAGTTGTTATTTTCTGCATGAATGCTTGTATCAAGTGACTTTCAGGCATTTAGAACAGGGCAGTACTGTTATTGCTCTATGTGAAGGACAGACCAGATGCATTCTTCTGGTCTCAGACTCCAAGTGCAAGTATTATTCTCTTCAGGCAACCGCTCTGTAAAATGGCTTGCTTCCTTTCCAGCACTCTGCTTGATGGCACCACTGCACTATAGGTGATATAATTTTTGAATACTAACAAGCAGCTGTCTTGCATTGCTCTGCTTAACAATGTCAACTTTAATTTGTGGTCCTTATCAAGTTGATACAAACTCTTTGAGGGTAACTGCTGAAAGAGAGGTTATTGCTTAGATCATTTAAAAGAGAACTAAGTTGTGGCTTTTAACTCTGAAGATGTAAATTAGGCTACTTTGGGAAATGATAGAACCGATCTGACTTGAAGGCAAACCTAAATATAGCAAGAGAAGTCTGTTCAAGACTTAGAGGTGAATC